ATCCTGCCTTCAGAAGAGTCTGTTTGACTTCGAACACTCACCCTCTTAGTACACTTTTTTTCCCTTTTCTTTACTTCCCTATTTAGTTACCTTGTTGCATCACATCCATCCTGTTTTATTTTTCATATTTTCTTTTGTTGCTTTCCTACTCTCTTCCCCTTAACCTATCTCCATCCTAGGTTTTTTTTTCCTTCCTTCCTCTCTCCTATCCTCCTCCGGTTTTTATATACAGACGGGGATCAATTAATTCTGTAAGTGAGCTATTTATTTTACTAGCAGCGTTAATCCATTTTATAGTTTTATTTAACTCCTTTTTTGCCCAGGTCTGACCCTCTTTTGGCATGTGGCTTCTGGCAAGATATGTGTATTTGTGCATACATGCTTATATGTACATGTGTGTGTCAGATGCACATAATTATAGAAAGGAGGAAATCTCCAAGATTTGCTTCAGCTGAAATTGGCAACCAAGGTTGACAAGTTGTGGAAGCTGAGTATTGTGAAGAATTTTTGTCTAAATTAAAAAATATATTCAGGAGGGGACCATTTCTGTTTTCCTTTTATGTAAATGCAGTATAAATTGTTTCCCTTATATTCCAACATACCTGGGAATGGTGTTCCAAGTAGGAACACTAAACAAAAAGGAATAGCTATATATATATTTAATATATGTACAGCATTTAGTAAATTAAAGGTGCTTTATATACGAAAGTATCTGTGCTTACAGCTAGTATTTGAAGAGGAGCAGTGTAAGCTTATTCTGACGTTTGGTAAGGATCTTATAATTGGAAGGAGCCATCCAGGACTTCCATCAAGTCCTGCCCTTGCTTAACGTGGAATACAAACACAGGCCTGCTTGACAAAAGTTTATCCAGCCTCTGCTTGAATGCATCTAACAAAGGAAACTCAAGACATCTCTAATTACTTCCTCTTTTAGCCTGTTCATATCATGAAAATGTTTTTTCTGGGCATTGAGCTGAAACTTTCTTTCTAGTAACTTTGATACAATTATTCTGTCTCCTGGATTCCAGGATGATGTAGGACATGTTATGGCCTGCTTTTCATTTGGAACTGCATCCCTCCTTTTTCTCTCAACTGTTTTCAATTATGGTTTCCTTCTGGGTTGGCTTAGGGGTTAGGAGTGGGAGGTACAGTGTTGCAATGGTTCTCCTTCCTCTAGGGCCATTCCAGTCAGTGTTGCAGGGGAGAGATCTAGCCCAAGGCCTCTGCTATATGCAGCCTCTCAGGACTGTGTTCTCTTTCTGCTCTTACTTAACATGTACATGAAATTGCTGGGTGAAGTCGTTTGTCAGTGTGGGGTCAAGTTTAATCAATTGGCTGATTTTTTTTTTTTAATTTATATAGCCAGAACATGACTGAGGGCAGCATACATAATTTAAAAACCATAATAAATTCAATACCCTCTTCAAATGTATTGGACTACAATTTCTAAAGGCAGGTCTGTGGGTAATCAAAGTATGTATAATTCTAAGTAGCATATACTTAGCTATAATACACTGGTGTATGTTAGCTACTGTCCAAATGTTTTAGTACTGATATTTACCTAGATTTATGAAAGCAAGAATGGAATTATCAAGGAAAGTAACTGACAAAATGCTTACTTATGTAGGTCCTAAGAAATCTGCATCACTGTTTAGGCTTGGCCGGAGAAATAGATAATGCCACAAATACAGGAAAGCCTCTTGCAATAGCAGTTCGAGGAAATAAACTGGTGACTTTAAAAAGTCCCGGATTCCTCTTTCTCACCCTGCCCCACCCCCACCCCCAATTTTCATCTGATATGTTATAAAACTAGGACTGAGATTGTGTGAAATGGGTGGCAGGAAGAGAGAGAGATGATTTACCTGCCTTCTGGGGTTATAGCCAACAAACACTGGCAAGCATCCTGGCGAACGCTGGGGTGGAAGCTGCGGACTTGAAAGAGATTGGACCAGATGAAAAGGCTTTTTGGCCAAATTTTTCCAAGGAGAGCTAACAAAGTAGGCTTAGAAACAAACTGATTTCTTCACAAATAAGTAGCAGGGAGGATGGATTTTTGATGCGGGATTGCGTTCCCGTAATTGGTGTTTCTGCACCATTACCACCCCAAAAAGTGGCCAAATAAATTGTGCATTTTTAAAAAGCACAAGTTATATAGTATGTGCTTGGCCCACAGATGCATTTGTGTGTGGGAGAAAGAGTATGTGCATGTTTCTTCCTAATCTCTTTCTTGGGATCCCTGATGGGCAAAGCTGAGCTGTTCCCCTTAAATTTGTGTCCACCTCTGACAACAGCCTGGAAGGCCTCCAGTGGGTATGGGGAGAATAGAGAGAAGGGTGTTAGCATGGCCCTCAGCAAACTACAGTATCCATCACAGATGTGTTTAACTGTGTGGTCAAAACATTGCTTTGCAATAGACTTCCCTATGCTGGTGTCCCCCAGAGTCATGCTTGGCATTACTCTGTCCTTTTGAATCAAAGTAATGACACTTTTATCTTTCTGGGCCCTTTAATATAAACTTTGTTTATGCAGCAAAGGAGCTTTTAAATTAATCTCATTTCTGATATTATAGTTTCTGCTACACTTTGGCTGTTTAATTACTTGTTCTATGTATTGACATGTTTTTCAAAAGCTGTTTTGGTGTTCAGCTTTATGCTTTTTTTAAAAAAAAGTTTCAACGTATTAGATCCTATGTTAGTTTTTAGAACATTTTGTAAGCTGTCTGAAAAACACCCTCTTAATTAATGATGAGTTTACATGTTTCTATTTTTTAGTGGCCTCAATATATCATTTTTTTTTTGTTGAAGATCAGTTCTAGCCTTAACATTGCTTTAAGATTTTAGTATCCTTCAGAGGTTCACACAGCACGGTTTACATCACTGAATTTTTCTAGTACTGTTGTTGTTGTGCCTCCAGGAAATTCATTTTCGAACTTGCCAATCTGGCTTCTGCTCTGCTTCATCTGCTTCTTTGATCTGTTTGCTTTAGCTTACGGCTACAGACCTTTTTAACACAGCTACTGGACAAGCAGGAGATGGAGCAGATGAAAGTATTATTGAATAAGCAGGAAATTCATGAGATACGTGCATTTGAAGACTCTGGATTGTGGCCATTTCTGGCTTCTTAAGGGTGTTCTATCTAATCTACAGAGAAGAATCTGGAAGTTCTAATTTCTGTTGACAAGCAAATAGAATGCAGTGAAGAAGTCTCCCACATCAGGAGAATGTCATTTTTCTCATCACCATTTGTTAAACACATCCCATTCTTAAAGATGTTAATTTAGCAGTCACTAATTGGGGACAGTGCAATTATGTACTGTTCATCTTGCAAATATATTTAGTAGAGCATTTGGGAGTGGGATAGTCGCCCTGCCCATTTCCTTATATGGCACAAATATCTCCCAGTTGCAAAGATAGTACCAATAGTTATAGGTGTCTTGGGTGCAATCCCAAAACAACTGGAACACCACTTGAACACCATCACCATTGACAAAATCACCAATCGGTCAATTGCAAAAGGCAGCTTTACTTGCAACAGCTTATATCCTGCGATGATACCTTTAACACCACCAAACAAAAACATCTGCGTATCCCAGGCCCTTGGAAAGGACTTGATAGGTGGATAAAAATGCCAAATCCAGTCTAAACATCTGGCTGTGCAACCAACCATCATCATAATCATAATACATTTTCTTGCTAAGGAATATATCATGGTTTTTAAATCTGCTACAGAAGATGTCCCTTAAGAAGTACAAAATACTTTGTGTCTAATAACAGAAATCCTATATTTTGTCCTTTCTTTGCATTTTGAGGAAATGTACCTTTTAAAAATGCACACACGGTACACCAGAGTTCTGAAATTTCAGCTCTTTCCACTGGCTGTCATGAAGTTAAACTCAATGAGAAATAGATGTGTTTGGATCTAGTTTGTGTGCATATATAAAAATGCACACACGGTACACCAGAGTTCTGAAATTTCAGCTCTTTCCACTGGCTGTCATGAAGTTAAACTCAATGAGAAATAGATGTGTTTGGATCTAGTTTGTGTGCATATAAGTGTTTATAAATCTTATCTGTCAAATTTTTCTTATATTCCAAACTTGCACCCTCCTGGTTACAGGATTATGGGAGGTGAAGTCCAGCAGGTTCAGAATGCACCAGCCTGAGGGGTCCTGCTTTCTTAAATTTGTCTATTATAGAATTACCTGAAACATTATCTAACATAACTCAGCACCATGGAAATAATGAGACTGTAGCAAAGCTATTTTAAATATTTTATCGTACTAAATGGGTATAATCTGTCAGATTCAAAATAGTTTGATCTAGTTATTTTACTTAGCCCTCAAGAGGCCAAGCCATTGGAAAATAGCAGACAAAACAGCATTGTACTTTGTTCCTGTGTATTTTTATTAAATTTGAGATTGTCCGTGTGCTACTTTTCATTTAGTCATAATGACTATCTGTTGTAAGTCCTGGATGTAATACAACTGATCTCTTGTTTCTCCTTCTCCTGCAGGCACAATGCCATCAATCCCTGCTGAAACTGAAATGGATACAGTGACTTGCACTCATGTTTCGGTTGACTGCATACCCAATGGAACCTTGGAGAAGGAAGCTTGTAATTCAACAGAAAAAGAGAGGAAATGGATCAGACCTGATACTGTCAGCAAGTGTACCTGGGAGCTTGGAAAATCTCCTTCTGAATCACCCCATTGCCATGCTACATTGTAAGTGATCATTCCTTCAATAGATTGGTGGAGGGAAGGCCTGCTTGGAAGGTGGTTTTTATTGTAAGCTGGACATTCAGTCTGGTTCAATCTGATGTTCATTGGGGGTAGTGGGTTTAGGATTGCGTCCCATCCCTATTGTGTATCTGTATGTCTTTCTGGTGTAGAGCAAAGACTCCAAAAATTATGCCTGATATCCTCCAAAAAATTGGAAATACTCCCATGGTGCGCATCAACAAGATTGGAAAGCTCTTTGGCCTCAAATGTGAACTCTGTGAGTATTTTTTGTAGTGATGGTTAACCTGGAATTGTAAACAGAAACATTTGCATTCTCACTACCAATACTATCGGTAAGGGAGCCCATAATTTAAAAAGACCAGTTCAGTCAGGAATTGAGTTGACTTTGTTTTTTTCTACTATTTCTGAACTAAGAGGCCATTTATGATACTGCAGTGCTTTAAGTGCAGCAGTTGGAAGTTGGCCTGAAGTCACCTCATTCTCTAGACATGTATTGCCAATGAGGCTTAAAACCCTGAATTGTACAAAGGAAGAACAACTTCATGAGGGATGTATTGGGTAGAAGGAAAACTTCTTGGAAAAGAAAGAAAGAAAATAGTTCTCTATATGTCTGGTTTGGGATCTGGACCACAGAAGAGAAGTGAATGGTGAGACTATGTGGTTGCTTAAGAAAGCTACAGAGCATTGGGCTAATCCAAATCCAGCTTCAGAATTGATTCATCAGAAGTCTTTTGTTTAGTCCCATATTCAGTTAGGATATATAAATATGCTATCCATCAGATCTATAAATACAATATCTGTAGATATCTGTGTGTGTGTGTGTGTGTGTGCACGCACAGATATGCCTTTTCTTAGAATATGGACAGATGAAATAGCATTCGCCAAATCCCTTGCAGAAAGTTGATGGGCTCCTTTTTCTTGATCATCTGAAACAATTCCTACTTAATTGTGGTGTTTAGTGGCAAAATGCGAGTTTTTCAATGCTGGAGGAAGTGTGAAGGACCGAATCAGTTTACGGATGGTGGAAGACGCTGAAAGGGATGGGATTCTGAAGCCAGGGGATACCATTATTGAACCAACTTCAGGAAATACAGGTAAAGAAATCCATTTGAACTGTAGTATCAAGAGCTGAGTGGAATGGGATGTACTTTGCTGAATAGGTGTCACTCTTTTCCAGTCCCAGGCCTCTCCAGACAATAAGGATGATGACAGATTTGAAAAATGTAAGAAGTCAGGAAGTGACTGGAATAATGAAGTGACTGGGCATAAACTAAAAATAAAATAATGCAGGTCTTAGTTCTAACAGATCTGAATGCTAAACACTATTGGACCAAGTTTTATGAATACTTGGGAGGGGGATCATTGTTTTGCTTATCAGTTTTTAAATGCTATACTTCATTTTCCAGTCTGCCATATGATTAGGATATGAATAGATGAAATGGCATTCGCCAAATCTCTTGCAGAAAGTTGATGGGCTCCTTTTTTGCTTTTGGTTGAGCAAATCAAATCATCCCTTTGCAAAATGATGATGGAATGTTAAAGTGGTACATACATAGTTTTAGACTATAATTCCACTCAGCCAGACGGATAGATCAAGAAAAAAATGTACGCATAGGTAGAAGTGTATGAAAAGTTTGCCTTTCAGCTCAGCCGCCTCTTTATTCTTATGGGGACTAGCTGGTTCAAAATGGCAGGACATAAAGCAGCTGTTGAACACAAGCTGTCAGGTTATGTCTTTGGCAGCATTATCATTATCTCAGTAGGATGATGATTTTATGCATTAGACTTCTTCCCCAAAATACCATAATTAGCTCAGGCAGGGAGAGTGCACAACTGTGCGTAAGTGGACTGATATCTTTCCAGAAGTTTTGTACTACATCTCCCATAAGTTTCAGCAGGAAGGACTAACAGGGAGTCTAGGAAACATCTGGAGGACACCAGGTTGTTTATTCTTGGCATGCACAATAGTGAGCCAGATCAATCAATAATTGCTTGGTTTAGGGTAACTGTCTGGGTTAGGGTAGCTGCCTATATTTCTCTAAGTATAGAGTTTCAGAATATAAAACAAATGTATGGCTTTTTTTAGTGACATTTTTCTTGGTTGCAGGAATTGGACTGGCCTTGGCAGCTGCAGTGAAAGGATACCGTTGTATCATTGTAATGCCAGAGAAAATGAGCATGGAAAAGGTCAGAGCTGTTTATCATTGAGCAGTCAACACATGGTTGCATTAGTTTACTGAGACACCATAAGTCAGCAGTGCTGTGTGTGAGAAAGCTAGACCTAACTTGCCATCTTAGTCTTTAATAAGGTTTTGCATTAGTTTTGTAATGGGGCTAAAATAGCCAATGCAGAACAACGTCTGATTTTGAATTGGCTCCAAGTCCCTGTAACCACTTGAACGGTCCAGTTGCATAAGCATTGTCTATGCACAGGCATTGACATTTTGGCTAATTTTGATTATGGTTCTTAAATAGGTAGATGTGCTACGTGCCCTTGGGGCTGAAATTGTGAGGACTCCAACAACTGCCAGGTTTGATTCTCCAGAATCGCACGTTGGGGTGGCATGGAGATTGAAAAATGAAATCCCCAACTCCCACATACTGGATCAGGTAACTTACCCACTGAAGAAGAAAAATGTAGGTGGCTAGACACCATGGAGGATAGCCTCTGGTCATTTATTCATGCACTGCCAATATAAAGCAGAAAAAGATGCACATATGTTAAGAAATAGGATGAGAGGAAAAGGCACTTATGAAGGGAGAAGGTACTTTATTGTCTGAACTTGGATGGTAGAAATATGCTATCTTCTACTATCCATTAATTCTTCGTGCCTCTTCCTACAGATCACTGTAGGCCCAACCTCTGCTTAGATCACAACAAACGAATAGGATGGCACTGGTTGCCATTAACTTGTTCCATTGATTTCAAGTGAACTTTTTTGCAATCTCTTCCTGTCATTCCCACCCTCTTTGTGGGATTTTAGCTATTGAAAAGGAAACACTCTTGGCACATAAGGATCAGCAAAATATCTAACAGACTCTTTTTTTCTAATATAATATAAAATGCAAATTACCCTACATATAGTGGCGATTGGAAGGAAGGAAGATTTGTATTATTGATGGTTGAGTTTTAGAATGTTTTTCTTTATGATGCTTAGTAAATTAAATTAATTTTCTAAGCATTAATTTATTTTCTGTTTTCTGTTGCACTTGTTTTCAATTTTTTCACCAAGATGGTTAATAGAAATAATAAAGCTATAATATAACATAAATATAGCATTTGACATGAAAAACAAGGGAAATAAAACAGCAACTCAAACCATTTAAAATTCACTTCATGGGGTTGTCCATGTATGTATGGTATATCTTGCATCTGCACTATTTCTGAATTGCGTCTGTACTGTTACTGAACTAGTCAGACTATTTGTTGATCCTAAATTTTCTCCATTCTTTTTTTTTTTTTTTTTACACATAGTACCGCAATGCCAGCAACCCCCTGTCCCATTATGACACAACAGCAGAGGAGATCCTTCAGCAATGTGAAGGTATGATTTGTATCTTACAAAACCTTCTGTTCCAGAAATAGGGAACTTCTGGAAAACTGAAAAAATGCTAGGAGAGATTGATTAATACAGGTAGTCCTCTCTTAACAACTATTTGTTTAATGACAGTTTGAAGTTACAACAGCCTCAGAAAGTTAAAGCACTTCCAGCCATCATAAAACATCATGCCGTACCACCACCCCCCACAGTCACATGGCCACATTTTGGGCGCTTGGCAGTCAGCTCACGTTTATGACCAGTAGCCAGGCGCCCTGCGATCATGTGATCGCCATTTGCAATCTTCTCTTGCAAAGTGTTGCAAGTGGACGGGACGCTACAGTGTGCAGGAACGGAATTCAAATCCTGAAGATTTGAGCTCCGTTCCTCCAGCCCCACCAAGGATTTCTCCTCCATTTGCAGAGGGGAGAGGAAACGTCTTGGTGGGAAGGAACAGAGTTCAAATATTCAGGATTTGAGTTCCATTCTTGGACACTGCTGAGTGGTTTCTCCAGCCCCAGGAAGGATTTCCCCTCTGTCCATGGAGGGGAGGGTAAAGCCTTTGGTGGGCTTTAGGAACGTTTAAGAGTGAAAGGGCTGCTTTCTGGGAGGATTTCAGCTCTGTGCTGAGCTGAAATCCTTCAGCAGACAGCCCTTCCACTCTGTCCACTCTGTCCACTCTGTCCACTCTGATCCAGGAGATTGCTTAACGACCACAACTGAGATTGCGCACAGATTGCGGTTGTTGAGCAAAGCAGTCACGTGAGCGTCTCACTTAACAACCGCTTAGCTTAATGACCAAGATTCTGGTCCCAGTTGTGGTTGTTAGGTGAGGACTACCTGTAAGGGCACAAGAGGCTTCAGTCCAACAGCCAACTTACCTTTGCAGGTAATTTGTGGGACTCTTCCAGTGACCAAGTTACTTCTAGATACAACTTCTTTTAAGAGGTGGAATGAATAAGGATGTAAAATGCACAAATCTTAGATCTGGACAGCTGTTAAAATTCCTGGATTGTTTAGATTTCCAAGGCAGCATTTGTCACAACTACAACTGCCAAAACCTGCATTTTTAGGCAAAATTAGGTGTGTGTGTGTATACGTCAACACACATCTGTATCAAAGCAGCTTCTTGCTAAATGTGCGTGTGCACACGCACACACACAATCCACAAATGGAAGTTTTACCATCCTCCTTTCTCTGCTAAATGTTATGAGTTCATCATGAAGAGAGGGCTTTCTCAAACCTCACCCGGCCTTATTGGGCAATATTCAATTGAGTACCTGTGTAGCTGTGTTTTGAACCTCAGAATGAGAGAAAACCCCTGTGGCACAGGTTTTACTTTTCTATAATTGGCAGCATTTGTTTATGATCCAGCTTAGGGTGATAACATAAGGGGAGGGCCCTTGCCTGAAATTCCCAGACTGGATGGACTGGTATGGCAGACTAGACTAGGTTTGTGGGCTAGCAATGCCCCATGCATGCTACAGCTTTTTGGGCCTAGGAGATGTTTCCATTCTTTCCTCATTTATTCTTAAAATAGTGCTTGTCCAGTAGGTTCAATCAAAGCCTACTTAACTAATTAAGTAGGCTTTGATTGAACCTGCTGCATAAGCACATTAATTAAGTAGTACTTAATTAATTAATTGCAACATGAGTATACACCAGCCGTATTGTCAGGCCCAACCCAAGAACAACAAGGAAACAATCCAGCCAAGTTCCAGCTTACACCACATAGACAGAATCTTGCCAGACTAAATCTGTGCTAACCTAATAGATACACTCTGGGAGAATCTTGGAAGTGGCTATCTTAAGTCTCTTCTTCTTCCCACTTCCCATAGTCCCTCTGGACTAAGTTGCCTCTTGTCTCCCCCCTGGAATGCACTCCCTCCTCCCTGATAACCTGGATCTCTACTGCATTCCATCATACCACTTCCTGCTTCGTAGATATATTCCATTACACATATATACAAAAGATGTATTTATGATATCCATGTTGCATGATCCAGACTGAAGAGATGGCACTATACCAAGGCCACTGAAGAAACTTTGTAGCCGAACAAGAATTTGGATTTGGTTTATATGAGATACTAAATGAACCCATACAGATGACATTATAGCTTGGTATGTTGTTTGAACAAGAGCCTGAATTTCCCTTAAGCAGTGGCCATTTTAGATAATATATCACATGTTTTCTTTAAACTTTACTAAAAATATTGGGGTAAGGACATGGGGAAAAATAAAAATATTGGGGGAAGCCATGCATGCCTTGAAATATGTAAGTTTGGGGAGGGGGTGCTCAGCATGTTCTGGAAAAATAATCCAGTTACAGTTACTCTTCATTTAGCAACTACCTCATTTAGCGACTATTTGCAAATACAACAGTAATAAATCATTTTCTGACGAATGCACACATTTACAACCAAATTTCCTGCCCCTGACAACAAAAGCCTTCAGTGGGAAGCTAATTAAGGTCTGGTCAGTTTCAGGCAGCAACTGCCATGGGGCTAGAAAGTTCTAATCAACTAATTAAGGTTACAGAACTAACTTATTAACTTGGGGTTAGCACTTTTTAGGGAAGCACTGGCTTCTGAGAAAAGCAGCTCAGGAAGAGATAGCTTGTTTAAGCAATCTCTCTGCTCTACAAGGGGGCAAAAAAAGTGGGGGAAAGGGGTCAGGCACAGGACACCTTATGAGAGAACTTTATCTGAATGAGATAGCAGCAACCAGTGATCTTCACAGCGTCTGTCTCTCTCTCCGTCTCTCTGTCACATGTTCACTTAGCGACCATTTTGCTTAACGACAAAGTTGCTGGAATCAGTTGTGGTTGCCAAATGAGGAGAGAGTGTATTAATCATATTATTTACTATCTGGAAACCAGCAGAGGGAGCTCCTACACAACTGTCCTTTTTTCTTCTATATGAGAAACCAGACAACCCTTTGATCCGTTGGGTCATCCTTTGAGAGAAAGATAGTGCAGTCTGATGTGATCAGAATGAACATTAAATTTTAGGCTGACCATATTTTTTTTACCCCAATGCTAGACAGTCCTGTGATCATCTAAGAAGAGTATACATCATAAATAGAAAAATTATTGTAGTGGCAAATGAACTTCAATAATAAGTCAATATTATTTACCTAAACAGATAAAGAGAAGAGCCATGGGCAGTCAAAAAAGCAATGGGAGCTGGGGTGACTTCCTGCCAGCTTCCCCACTGACTTTGCTTGTGGGGAGCTGGCAGGGAGCATTGGAAATCATGATCATGTGACCACGAGGACGCTGCCAAGGCCACAACTTTGCAAATAAAACTGGTCTGAACATCATGGAAATTTCAATTCCACAGGAGTCCTGGATTTTTTACACATGTTTTAAGAGCGGATTTTAGGTACCATGATTCAAAAATTGTTGCGGTATAATGTGCCCATTTGGGCTAATCTGAGAGTACAAACAGATAAACACAATGAGAGTTTTAGTAGCATATAGATAAAGCAGAGCATGCTTTGGAAATAATTCAGAAGAAGCACTCTCAACCTCAAACCCTTTTTCAGGTTTCCGTGTGAACCTGAAAGGAGGTTTGCTGGTTTAAAACTTGTCTTAGTGTTAATGAGTGGATTTCTTAAGCAGCAGCATCTTTTTCTCTGACTCACCCAAGCTTGAAAAACATTGGGCTCCTTTCATGACCATCAGAAGGTGCTGCATTCCTGCAAGGTCCAAAGTACTTCTTCCAAATAAGTTTTAAAGTGTGACCACCAATAAAGTAAAAATAATTCTTACTTTAGATTTTTTTTAAGTGAACCTGCATCTAGAATACTTATCTTAATTTTAATACCTGAAGTATTGGGATATTGTTTTAAACTTCGTGTTGCAATTTAAATTTAATAAGATGCATGGAGATATTTAATAGATGAAACTGATAAGGGAACAGATTCAGACTCAAGTATCTTTGAACATATCCAAAATAAATTCAGATGTGTCAGGAAAATGGGATAGAAAAATAAAAGCTTCTTTTGCAAACAATGACTGTGGGATGGCTTTCACGGCTGGAATACAATGGCTGATGTGGGTCTTCCGGGCTGTGTGGCCATGTTCTGGAAG